TGGAGGCTTGGCCCGTGGTGTAGATAAGATGGGTGCTGAGAATTTCTGTTTTCTTCCATCTGGTTTACTCTAAGCAAGGGAACAATTATGTCAAACTGCTGTCTGCTTTTGACTCTGCACGTTAGCTTTGTCTTTCACTGTAGAGCTGGAGAGCACTCAGAGGTGGGTGAGATATAAGAAGCTAGAAAGAATGAGGTTTCTCACCCTCTCCTGAGCCAGTCTTCCATTCAGATCTCAGGGTGATTAGTGCAAGAGAATAAATTAGTTTAGCTGTTGGTCCTGGCTCTTGGAAAGAGGCAGGTGGAGAGAAGGGGAAGTGGCAGAATGATGCTGAGCAGGAGCAGGGTGAGTACTGGTAAGCCACTGGGCACACCTGCACTGTACTGCTGGGTCTGGCTGCCTGGAGCTCACCTTCTCCCCAGCCCTGCCCTGGCTGCTCACCTCACTTTCCCTCACACATGCCAGGTAAGTCTGCTTAGCTGTGATAGCCAGGGTAATCGGGGTTGATGGCAAGTGTCTGGAGGGAACTGGGGTCACTGTAGCATCTTCACAATTTGTCAGAGAGGGCCTCTGGATGCTGTTGGGGTGAGACAGAGGATTTGCTTTGCCTGAACCCAGGAGAGCATTCAGTGACTTTGCTTAGGCTTTTGGCTTTGCTCAGCCCTGTGCCTCCCCCTGGTAGCTCACTCCTTGACAGTCCTCTGATCCCCCCTGCTTCTTATCCCTGTGGTGTGCCTTCCCCTCAATGTGCACTGCTCTGTTGGAGCAGTGAACGTATCTCTTATGCTTGTGGCTTCACTCCTGCAGGATGTTCTACCATGAGTTTCATTGAGCACCCTTCCCCACCCCTTGCCCAAGGGCATGGGTGAGCAGCAGGGAAGCATAATCTGAGCACCTTTTCATCAGGATTCTTCCTTGGATGCCCCCAGCCGATGCCATTTGGTTTCTTCCTTTGCCCTGGTCTCCTCGTAAGGATGAGTAGGGAAGACAAAAGGCCTTTCAGAGCCCACACGTGGCACTCATGAATATTTCATGTTTCTAGCTTTTCTTCCCTGTGAAGAGCAAAACCTTTTCATATTTGATGCCCTGGGAGCCTGTTTGGTTGCTGAATGTTGCTTCATCAATGCTCTCCCTCCCTGATTTTCCTCCACACTGCCCAAGACCCTCTTCCTTTCTCTTCTCAGGGAATGTCTCTTTTTTTCAAAGGCTGCTTCAGAAAAGGTCATTGTCCCTTCCATTTTCCCTCCTTGCTGTGAGCCAGCGTGGCTTCTGCTCTGCCAATGATAGAGGACAAATGTGGATGTGGGGAAAGGCAGCAGTGGGCGGGGGGGAGGCTGGGAGATGTGTAGGCATATGCTGCAGAGCAGTGCAGAGGCAGAGAGATGTAGGCATGGCAAGAGAAAAGTAAAGGGGCAGAAGGCAGGATGGAGGCTGCAGCAGGACTTTGCAGAAGAACCTTCTGCAAAGGTTCCAGCACCTTCCAGAAGCTGTCATGCACTAGTGTTGCCGTGGATGGCGATTTGTCTGGTGAAGCCCCCCTGGAAAAGAGAGGTGTCCCAGTTCTCCAGGGCAGGATGTTCCCAAAGCTGCGCTGGGAAATATGCTTTCTGCCCAATTCCATTGCCCCACAGCTGCTTTACAGACCTTGGTATCTCAGCCACCAGAGTCTGCAGTAGATCAGCAGCCTCTATCCTTGCACTTTTCAGCCTTGCTCCCCCTTTCCCCTACACCTTGTGAGTGCTTGAGGAATCAGGGACTGTTTGCAACCTTCTCCCTGTGCAGACCACAAAACACACTGTTCTGTGGGTCCTGCCAGAGTGGGGCCCACCCCCTCCTGCCCATGACAGCATTCAGACACCAAGGTCCTTCCTTGGATGCCACCAGCAGATGCACTGGTGTGGCTGCGGGACCAGCCCATCCCTTCCTGGGTCAGTGGGACTGCAAACCCCCAGCCATGGATAGACCCACACAGGGCTGCTGGCCCAAAAGGGGATGGGAGGCTGTGAGGGCTTCCCCCCAAAGTGTCTGTTGGAGCTGGCAGAGGTGCAGGAAGGGACTGCCAAAATGACATAGCAAAGGGTGCTCAGGGACTCTGGCATGAGTACTGCAGGCAGCTGGGGTGGCTAACAATGGAGAGAACAAAGGCTGTATTGACACTGTGCTTTTCATCTATATGGAAGTTGGATTAGTGAGTAGAGTTGAAGTACTCTACTGGACTGGGAGGTCCATTTGATGGAAAACTGATGCCTCTGGTGAAAATGGGTTTCCAGAGCAATTGCTTACAAAAAGCAAAAGAGGCTTTGCACAAAATGAAATAATGTATTTGTTTTAGAGGTGGTTGGCCCATAGGAGAATTGCAATCAATGTTTGGATGGGTGGAGCTTCAGCGTTCTTGCTTTTGGTAGAGCCAGTCTCAAAATGTGGTGTCAGCATCAGTATGCACAGAAGGGTGACTGTTTAACTGGGAGAGCTTCTAAAAGATAAAAGTTTGGTTTCATTTGGATTTAGAAATGGAACCCACCAATACTGAAATTCTTTGTGATGTGGAGCAGGCACCGAGTGCCAGGGCCACCTTCCTGGTGGGCACCTACCTGGCACAGGGCCACCTGACAGATTTTGGATTATGGGCCCAGGTACCCTAAGAAGGCCAAGCATGAGGGCAATTGCTGTGATCCTGAAGCTGTGGATAGAGATCCTGCACCATCAGTGGAGCTACTTGGAATCAGGATGGGGAATGTATGGGCAGGCAGGAAGTTTCCAAGGAAAAGGCAGGCAAGTTACTTTTCTTCTCTTGGAACATGGACAAAATCAATTTTTGCAAATTCTGATCCAACAAATGTGTTGCCTGTAAAATTCTGGTGGGGATGTCTGCTCTCCGTGTTCTGCGTTTCAGCATAAGGGCAGTCTCGTTCTTCCCATTACCTCTGCTCTGAGATAAAGCTAGCATCAATTGATCTGAAAAACATTGTCCCCTCTTGCAGCACTGCTGGCACAGCTTCCTGTGTCACTTGGCTCTCCCTAACGTACTGACCAGGACAGTTTATGGAAAGTACCAAGCTCGTGCTGTGAAGCAGCATTAATGCTGGGAACATGCTGCACTGCAGTGAGGTTGTGTGGCCTTAAAGCCGAAGTGTTCTGCAGAGCATTGCTCCAGAGCCTGACGGGTCACAGCAACAGGCAGCAGGGCACTGTGGCTGTGCTGTTGGGCTTTGCGTGGTAGCAGATCAGGAAGCTGTCAGTGACTCATGGCATGTCCGTGATCCCCAGCGAGCAGCTGGAGCTCTGGCCCTGCATGGCTCAGCTCCCGACATGCTGTCTAGAAAATGCCTTAACTGGTGATTGGTGATACAGCTGTGCAGCCAGGCAAGTAGGGCTTAGCTGCTGCTCCACAGTCTGGCCTTAGAGCTAATGCCATCATTCCTTTTCCTTCATGAATCCATGTAACTGATATTAAGCATCTCTCTTCCCTACATATCCCCTACATCCACTCCTGTTTCTGCTACCCCAATCTGCCCCCAGAACATTCCCTCTTAAACTAAACCAGTCCCCACCAGGCACTCTTCTCCCTCTTCTTTCATAGGGAAAGGACCTTAAGGTCATCCAGTTCCAACGCCCCTGCCATGGGCAAGGGTACCTTCTACTAGACCAGGCTGCTCAAGTCCAACCTGGCCTTGAACACTGCCATTGATGGGGCAGCCGCTGCTTCTCTGGGCAGCCGGTTGAAATGCTGCCTTCAGCCTGTTCAATTCTGCTTCCTTGGGAAGCCTTTCAGTGTGCATGCACCCCATGCCTGCATGCCTCCAGTGGGTACCACTTCCCTCCACTCTCTGCAGTGTGAGCAGCCCAGCAAATAGAGATAGAGCGTAATGCACAACATTATGTGGCTAATTACTTGATGCTGGGCACACAAGGGGGATTAACTTGTGCCTCAAAGGGCTGTCAGAGAATCCTAAGCTTATCTTCTCCTCCTCTTTCCCCTTCCACTGCCATCTGAAGTAATGAACTGGTTATAAATACCTAATTAGCTAATTATTTGCTGGTCTACATGGAACATGTTCAGTGAAGGAATTCCCTGGACCCCCAGGAGAGGGATCTCCACGGAGGCACGAGAGACAACCACATGAGGTGTGTGCTGGGGTAAAGGCAGTACAATGATGCTCATGAGGATTTCTAGACTTTTGCCATCCCTGGAGAGCAGAGGAAAAGTCATTAGCTCCACAGTGAAAGGAGCCTCCTTACCCCTACTTGCAGCTGTGTGAGCTGGAGTGCCAGGGGAAAAATAAAACCATAGAAATAATTAATTAGGCAATTAAAAGTAAAAGGGGTTTGGAAACATTTGCACTGGCCAGAGGTGCTGTGCTGACAGCATTTTGGGCTTTGCCTGCTACTTGTGTGCTTCAGCGCTGTTGTGGAGGGAGGACTAGCCTAGAGAGGAGAGTGTGGTCTCCATGGCTTGTCCACTGATGATACTGTCACTGAGAAAACCAACCTATGTCAGTTTATGTGTGCTGGATAGGTTCATTCCATTATGCAGGCTGGCTTGGTCTATTGATGCAATTCTCACAGGTTGCAGCATACAGTTTAACTGGGATGATTTTCAGTCCAAGGCATCTGAAGATGCTGCTGTTGAGCTGCTGCACACCTTTGGGACAGTTGCCACTCTCTTGTATTTCTGCAGGGAAGTGGGAGAGAAGGCTATTGGTCACATAGCTGATGGTACCAGCTTTTCTCTTTCCTCTTTCTTCTCGCTGCTGCAAAGGCCTGGGGTTAAGAGATCATGGTATCATAGCAGGTCTGCTGGCTGCCTGTCAGTAGAGGTTAGGACAAGAAAGGGTGACAACCATGAACGCAGCCTGGTTTGGGCAGTAATTAATTTCTGACGCGGCTTTTATCTTCATGTGGCTTTTTGTGTGTGTGTGTTCTAATTTTTCATTTCCTTCCTTTTCTCCCTCTCTCTCCGCCCCACACTTACTCCTTCTGGTTCTCTTCTCCCCCTGCAGGCATGCGCATCCTTGTGAACTTGCTCCTGGACACCTTGCCCATGCTGGGGAATGTCCTTCTTCTCTGCTTCTTTGTCTTCTTCATCTTTGGCATCATTGGGGTGCAGCTGTGGGCTGGGCTGCTCCGCAACCGCTGCTTCATGGAGGAGAACTTCACAATGTGAGTGCCTGGGAGATGATGTCTCCTTCCTTTCTTCCAGGGACATTTCTCTTTCCTCTTCCCTACTCTCTTGTCTTCTGCTGCCTGGTTCTCTGGCTGTTGGCAGAGGTATCCCACAGCCGTGTTAGTAGAAGTGAGAGCATCTGAAAGTGAAGAATGGCTGTTTGAATGGCACAAAAAAAGAAAAAAAAAACATGGGGAAATGTGGGCACAGTTCTGGCAAATAGAGCCTGGACCGCACAGGGGTTGATTACAGGTATCTGAGGTTTATTCTGGGGAGGTCAGAGGAGAACCTGCAAAGCAGGCAGTGGGGTGGAAATGCTTCTGCCTGTTACGTATTCTCTGATTACCCTGCTGTAACTGAGAGCATCAGTTCCAGGGCACAGCTCCTCCTGTTGACTTTCTGGCTTTAGCAGATCTCAGGCTTTGAAATATCTTCTTAAAACCATATACTAATCCCAGGCAAGCTATCAGTTTAGACTACTTAAAAAAAGCCCTAAAGCTGTAGATCAGTTTAGACTGATTAAACAATTCTGAAGCTTTAGATCATCTCAAATTGGAAAAAAAAAAAAGTGTGAAAATATAATCTGCAGAAGAGGAGTGGGGTTGAAGAGTAGGAGCTGCTTAAAGCATCCATTTACTATGTTTATATATTCCTTGAGGAAAAATGAATGTTTAGGATGATTGTCCTTTATGTAAATCAGGGCTAGTACTACTTTAATGAGTGTTATTACATCCATGCAGAGTTAGTGTAACCAAGAACTGAATTGGGGTGGCTGGCAAAGTGACAGATACTAGAAAATCTTTAACTGACCATTACTAGAGAAATGAGTTCTGCAGGCACCCAATTCAGCAGTGATGTGGATGTGCTACAACACATCTTTGTGGTTTAGTTCCATTTACTTTAGAATCAGAGACTTTCTTTTCTCTTTCATCATAGAATCATAGAATAGTTCGGGTTGGAAACCTTAAGATCATCTAGTTCCAACCCCCCTGCCATGGACAGGGACACCTCACACTAAACCATGCCACCCAAGGCTCCGTCCAGCCTGACCTTGAACACCGCCAGGGATGGAGCATTCACAACTTCCTTGGGCAGCCTGTTCCAGTGCCTCACCACCCTTAGAGTAAAAAACTTCCTCCTTATATCCAATCTAAACTTCCCATGTTTAAGTTTTAACCCATTACCCCTTGTCCTGTCACTACGGTCCGTAATGAAGAGTCTCTCCGCAGCATCAGTACCTGTCCTTTTCCTATGACACTTAGTGAACAAGTCTGCGTTTACAGAACGTGAAAGTTGTGTATTGTGGCACTGCAAGGAATGTACCAGATAAAGTTTAATAGAAAGTTTTAAATCTTCACCTTTCATTTTCCTGATCATTAGCTCACCTCCAGCTAGGCAAGCGTAGATGATTTTAATTATTCATGTTTTGGAAGGTGCTTGCATTATTGTGAACTTGTCATGAAACATTGCACCCATAATGCCAACTGTCAAAAAAGAGTCATAGTTAAGGTTAAGTCAATTTTATCTTTGCATTTCCCGATTTTAAGGCTGAGCTGTGCAACCTTAATTATGCATGAGCTGGATTTTGATTTTATAGAAGTACAGAAGGTTCACTGCCAAATGTTATAAAACATGTCCATCAACAGTTACATACATGAGCACATCACAGTAAAGCCTGATGAACTTCCTTAATATCAATGCATCTAATTTAGCTTTGATGCTAATGGGGAGAGTGATCAGAAGGAGATTGTGTAATTAGGCTTAGGGTGATCTGATGGGAGGCAAAGCTCTGAAAACTGGGGACTCATCCTGGAAATTTCCTGCTTTCCAGGAGCCCTGTCTTGAGGTGGTAAACCCGGAAATCCCTTACCCAGCGCAGTCCCTATCCAGGGAGCATCCAGATCCACTAGTGTCACTGGTGGGAAACTGTCTGTTACAGGAACTTTATGACTGTTTTTTTTATCTTTGCAGACAAGGTGACATTGTCCTTCCCCCTTATTACCAGCCTGAGGAAGATGATGAGATGCCCTTTATCTGCTCATTGTCAGGAGACAATGGAATTATGGGCTGTCACGAGATACCCCCACTGAAAGAGCGGGGCCATGAATGTTGTTTGGACAAGGATGATTATTATTATTACAACTCGGTCCGGCAAGAGTTCAACATCAGTGGCATGTGTGTCAACTGGAACCAGTACTACAATGTGTGCCGTACAGGCAATGCCAACCCACACAAGGGTGCCATCAACTTTGACAACATCGGGTATGCCTGGATTGTGATATTTCAGGTAAGATCAAGTTCGCCTTCTAACATAGCTCAAGCAAGTTTTCTTTTTTACAACTCAATCTTTCTGTGCTCCTGTGACAGTTTCTGCAAGGTGAGATACAGCAGCAGAGAGAAAAGGGCCTTGTAACTATTCTGTTGAAAAAGACAAAGTGCCCACCACGAATGGTGCTCCTGAAGATGGAACATAAAGGTTGAGATGAAGAGGGACATAGAGCTGTTCAAGGCTCTTGCTGAAATGAGCTACACTCTTCAGGCTGACTTGTACCAGTCTTCCCTTCAGTCCACATCACTATAGCAAAGGAGGCTATTTTATTTTGTTTTTTTTGAAATTCCCAGCATGCGCTGCAGATGGGACCTAGAATTCAAACCTTTTCTCTTTTCCGCTGGCTGTACGCAGTGTCCAGTCCAAGGGCCACAGAAACCTGCTGTGGGTTTTTTCCCTGCTGTGATCCAGGGAAATGAACTATTTTAATGAAATATTCCTGCTGTGGGCTAGCATGATCTCACAGGCTTTGACAGTATGCCAGTGTCACCAAGCAGTACCATGCTGATTTCCTGGAATGGAAATTTGGCCTCCTCGAAATGAATTGCTGTTTCTCACCTTCCTTGGGTTGCAACAGCCCTGCCAATATCTGCCTGTATACACTGAGGAGTGAACTCTGTAAGCCCACTTCCCTACTGTTTCTCTTGTTGTTTGTCTCTGCAGGTTATCACACTGGAAGGGTGGGTGGAGATCATGTACTATGTGATGGATGCCCATTCCTTCTACAATTTTATCTACTTTATTTTGCTGATAATCGTAAGTATAAGCCTTGATGACTGTCAGCATCGCAAGCTAAATGCCTACAAAAGCCAGGTGTTATGTCAACACACATATCAGGGAAGCAAACTACTTCACCTGGATTTCTTCTAGGAATTTCCAGAACCAGCTACTTGATTTTCACCAAGGGTCAGGATCACGTGGTTGTCAGCCTAGTTATTGTCTTTCATTCAAAAAAATATGCTCAGGATTGATTCCTAGAGATATACATGCCCAGTGTAGGATAATGCTCTCATCCATGAATCTTCTCTCAGAGTCACTTTCCCAAACTAGTAGGCCCAGAGCCTAAGCACAGAAAACCATTTCTGCATTTGCCCTCCTACTTGGTCTCTTTATATGTTTTAAGCTCTTGAGTTATTCTTGAGCCATGTTTTACGGCTTTTGGCAGGACATGGATTTCTGAGATCCAGGTTCTCAGATTCAGATTTTGTCAGATTTGGCATCTGTCATGCTGAATTATTTCCTCACGGTGAACAGAAAGGAGCTGCTGCTCCAAAAGTGTCAGCAGTCCAACGTAAACTGGCTGTGTGAGATTACTTGTAGCTGGTGGAGATAGAAAGAGAGAAGTGTGTCTGTGATGAGAGCTTAATAAACAGGTTTTAAAACCTGTGGTTTTATACAAGTGAAGTTTGAAGGTTGCTTTGATGTAAGGATGTTTGTTGTCCGTGCCTGGAAAGAGAGGTGAGATATGGTGCCATTCCCTCTTCCATTCTCAGGCCTCTCATTTGTAAATGCATTTTCTTGGAGGGAATATCCTGTTTCTAAAAAGGAAGAATCTTGTTTTTATGAAGACTCTTGCACTTTTCCCATATGGGAACTGTCCTGATTTTAGCTGGGATAGAGTTAACTTTCTTCCAGCTACTAGCTGTTTTGATTTTAGTCTAAGAATAACATTGATAACACACTGGTGTTTTAGTTTAGGACCAAAGTCAAGAGTGGAAAGGAAAGACATCGGATGGATTATGGGAAGTATGAAATCTGTATGCCATAGGTACAATTTAGTTCTAGGCCACATTGCCAGTAAGGACCTCGGTGTATGTTTTCAAGGCCTACATGTATTTGGATGGGCTGCTGAACAGGCCTGGCTAAGATTCTGCTCTTTACTTGTGTCCTGGGGTCAGCAGTAGCGGTCATTTTTCTCCTTCTTGGTAGCTGGTGCAGTGCTGTGTTTTGACTTTCGGCCTGGGAACAGAGCTGATAACAATGATGTTTTGGTTTGGCCAAGGACTTTGCGAGCCTCATGCTCTGCCAGGGAGGAGGGGAAGCCGGGAGGAAGCAGAGACAGGACACCTGACCCAAACTGACCAAAGAGGTATTCCATACCACAGCACGTCATGCCCAGGATGTAACTGGGAGTTACCCGGAAGGGCTGGGAGTCTGTAGGGTTGGATGAGGTATCGGTTGGTGCTTGGTCGGGATGGGGGGGGGGACAAGTTATCAGTTGGCTGGTAGTGAGGTGATGTATTCTCTTCCCTTGTTATTTCCTTTATCATTATTATTATTGGCGGTAGCAGTAGTGATCTGTGTTATACCTTAGTTACTAGACTGTTCTTATCTCAACCCGTGGGAGTTGTAACTGCCAGTAACTGCCCAGGCTCATCTGGCACAGGAACTAGTTTAACTTCAAGCTGACATGCAGTGACTTGAGAGCAAACAAACCTTAATCCAGTTTCTGGAAGAAATTCTGCTGCCTGTGCATACGGGGAGTGGCATGCAAAAAATAATCTACTGGTCCATTCAGGACAGAGAACTTACAAAAAAGCTGCGTCTTCATGGTATACTTCATTTTTCCCTGCCTTCTGGCCTTCTGCCATCACAAGGGAAAGACAAGGAGATAAAAACAGGAAGACAACCTGTTCCTGTGGGCTGAATAATGAAGCACGACAGCAGAGGTGAAATAGACCTGTAGGAGTGCTGCTTTTACTTTGAGGCTGGAGAGTCCCAAGGAGAGACAGTGCAGAGGTATGATTGCACAGGATGGAGGGAGATTCACCCCAACTCTCTTCCCAAAGCCACACTGAACATCTGCTACTTTTTGTGAGTTCAGAAAACAATTATTTCCCATGAAGTTTGTTCAGACCCACCATACGATAGATATTTAGCACTTACATTTTCACTTTGAGAAACATGGGCAGAATATCCAGATTTGTACAAGGTAGTTCAGCAAAGAATTTACTCCTTGTCTCAGACACAGACTCTCCTAGGGCCAGGAAGGACTGTGCACAGTCAGTGTTTAATCACTGGGGTGGGCCCAGCCTCCTGCGGGACTTCCAGAAACTGCTTCTCAACCCCTGCTCCAAACTACATAAATGCTGTCAGTGTATTTTTGTCTCCTAAGCAGGAGCATCCTTCTAGTGCTGGCTCACCTCATGTGGATTCCCAATGGTTCAAACTTTGCCTCTGAATTTGCAGGTGCTGAAAACGCTCAATTAAACACACCACCTGAGATCTTACTGCAGTGTCACTGGCATTTCTAGACACTCCCTCCTCATTCTCAGAAGCTATGTAGGTTTATTTTCATCAGACGCAGGTGTACATGAACATCAAGTTACTCTGGAGACTGCTCAGAACAAAGGAGCCATATGCTAGATGGGATATTTCCTTTGCCTTTGGTGGAGTTACACCATGAAAATATTTAACCTTTCTGTTACCTTCTTTGCATGCATACTGCATCTTTTACAGCACATAGAAACACAACAGTTGCCCTTGGTTGCAGAATAGAAATCCCTTAGTTTTATTTTCCCTCCATATCTTCTTATAGAAATTATGACCTCTCTTCAAATGTGATGAAGAACAGTCCTTCCAGCCTTTATGTTTCTCTTCTCCATGGCTGAAAGGCCTGGGTTTCTAAGCAGGATTGCTCTGACAGTCATACTTCAAGACCTGAGTCTTTGCTTTTCCACACACATATGAGCCTCGGCTCAAACTTACTCTTCTGGGAATGGATCTCTGCAGCAACTACTTTAGAGCTAAGCTTTCATCCGTGACTTCTTCTTTCCTCCCAGATATATCTTTGAACACCTACATAAAGGCACTACCTGCTGCTGCTCATCTGGCAGGAAGAAGGCTCCACCACCTGGATATATTCCTAGCACAGTAAGGACTCCTGCATAGATGTGCTCCATCAAGGGGAGGAGTGCTGGCTGGCCCTGGCATTCAGAGTGGCCTTGCAGAACAACTTGGTAAAAGCATTTTACATATTCAGCAAACTGCAGATAGGTTCCTGCTCTGCAAGAGGTCATGGAGCTAACATGAAAGAAGGACTGCTTTCACTTCTCAGGGTTTCATTTGGATCTCCCTGCTTGAAGTCCAGCTGTCTCTTTGTCACTTCTCCAGTTACTTGGCCACTGGTGTGGCTCTTGGACTAGAGAAGACTCTTCTGAACTCTCAGGCTGGCATGTACGTTGCAGCACTCAGTGGCCTTCTTGGAGTGCTCTGTGCTGACACATGCGGGTTTCAGAAGACAAGCTGGATATCCAGGCATAAGCAAGTTAAAAATAACGGGCAAATTAGTCAGCATCTCCAGCACCAGTCAGGTTTTATTCAGAATTGCAGAGTCAGGGATTGGACCTTGGGCTGAACAAGGCCAGGATCTGCTCAGTTGATCTCAGTCTCGGGGCTGAACAGGACTCCTGTGTTGGGGCTCTGAATCAGTCTCCTTCTGCCTTTGTCGTATGCTTTGTCTGACTCATATCAGACACTTTTGATCTCCCTGTTTAGCTAGCTGGGATGGATCACTCAGATACAAGCCGTCCGGGAACTTTCTTGCTCTTCTGCTAACTGGGGTGCAGTGTCAAGCTTGGCAGAGCCTGGGAGTTTATGGACTTGTCTGTTGTCTTCAGGTTTAAACAAGCTCATTTGTTTGATGCTCTTAGCTAAGAGTTTTAAGGATTGTTTTTAGTTGCCATGTCCAGTCCTCTCACTCCTTTTTGCTCATCTTGTGGGAGATCACAGCAAATGGTGCCTGTGAGGACAGGGCTTGGCGATGTTAAACCTGAACACCCCTCCAGATCCAAGCCCAGGCTGGCAGTGTGACCCTGCTGAGGGCATCTTGTTACTCTCAGTTCCTTTGCAGGTAGCCTAGAGAAAAGGTGTTGCAAGTCTCAATCACTTGTTGATTGTGGAGTTGTTGGAAGTTGCAAAGTACTGGGCAGTTTCACAACTAGAGTTCCAGAAATGCATGTGTAGCTGGTGTCCAGCTCCCAACCCTGCCTCACGCAGGGAAAGCTGAGGGACATAACTGAATGGGCAAGCTGAGGGGGAAGAGGGCAGGAGAGCACATTGGAGAATTTGGGTTCCCAGTCATACTCTTATCAGTGAAAACATGCAAGACATTATGGATTAGCGAAAATCTTGGGGGAAAGGGAAGGAAACTGAATGAGGCATCATTTTAATTTTCAAGGCCACATAAAAAAGCTGAAGGGAAAATAGGCTGAAATACAGGCAGGAGAAGAGGGAAGAGAAGAGTTCAGTGATGAAGGGAAGCAGAATTAGAACAGCTTTGAAGTGTTCAAAGAGGAGGAGAAAAAAAACCAACCCAGCCCTTTATTTTGAGATGGTTTATTGTCCTTATGTTGAATCTGTCTGGGAAGAGCTTCATGTTTCAAAGGCTTATTCAAATGCTAGCAGGGACACCTCCCTTTCGAAATACTGAGAACCACTGTATTAAGCTTCTGGACACAGCTTCTAGGCACCTGTGTGCAAGAGAAAGGGACAACCGAGGGGGCAAGCTGGTATGAGCAGCAGCAAGAGCTGTGTGCTGAGGGGAAGGCTGCTTGGGTAGATAAAACAAGCTGGGGTACTTGCTGAAAAAAACCTCTGCTTTTTCCATGCACAAGGGTTGGGGTCAGGTTATCACCAACTTTGCTTGGCCTCTCACCTTTGCTGGTAGGGTTATGTGGGGAAGGACATATGTGCATAAGGTCAGGATGGATCCAGCTCTGTCAGAGCTGTTAGCTTGGAAAGGAGAGACAGGGAGGTGAGACTGGGTCCTGTGTGAGTTCGTACAGGAGGAACATAGTGTGAGGATATCCCTTAGCAGGAATGCTCCCTGGTGCATCAGAAACAGAAATCTTGAGCTGGTTCTTCCTCTGTTTCCAGGGGCCACCCCACAGAGTCCATTTCCGAGCAGAGCAGACATGTGGTCCTTGTTCAGAGATGAAACTCTGCGTTTTATCAATGCCGTATCACCACTTACAGCTCTGTGGGGAGTAGGCATCACTCAGGGCATCATAGCTTTGAAAATTATTTTGAAAGTGGTTACAGCCCTTTTATGTATGAAATTCTCTTCATATTGAAGCCCAGGTTTTATCCTAAGTGTAGCAGATAGATCTCCTAGTGGAGATTCATCTGTAATTTCATAATATGTAACACTGAGAGATTGTTACCTCCAGATCTTTCAGCACCAACAAATATAAAAGAGGGATATAAAAGTGCTTCTAAGGGACTTGCTAAAGGTCCCAAACCTGCCAAAAGAGCCAAATGCCAGGCTTGTGTTTCCTGAATTTCAATTCAGAGCTCTAAATTCTGCGTGGAAATCCCAGTGAGTTTTCAAAAATCAAGCTCAGCTAGCCCTGGTTTTCTCTGGAATCCTATCTCCTTACACAGGCTGGTCTGCCTGCAGGCACTTTCCATTCCTCTCTCCTCTTACATTCCCCCTCCTGCATGTTCTTCCTCATGCTGACATTGATTGTTCCTTCTTATCCTTTACTACTAGGTGGGCTCCTTCTTCATGATCAATTTGTGCCTGGTGGTCATTGCCACACAGTTCTCAGAGACCAAGCAGCGGGAGCACCAGCTGATGCAGGAGCAGAGGGCCCGGTACCTCTCCTCCAGTACTGTTGCCAGCTACATGGAGCCAGGAGACTGCTATGAGGAGATCTTCCAATACATCTGCCACATAATGCGCAAAGCCAAACGCCGCACCCTTGGGCTGTATAACAGCATACAGAGCCGGCGCCAGGGCCACGTGCAGCCAAGCAATGCCAAGCTAGGCGTGAACAGGAAAAGCCAGAGGCACTACAGTAAGGATTGCATGTGTAAAGCTGGAAATGCCAGTAGTGGAAACGTGAGTGTAACTGGGAGCATCTCTATGTGCCAGCCTGCCAAAGGACCTGTGCCTACAAAGCACAGAATTAGAATTAACATTGGCCACAGTGAGCGTGGGGCCATGGCCAGTGCACTAGACTTGCGAGGTGGGGATGACCAGTGAGAATGGGAATGACACGGGGGTGACCATCAAGGAACATGGGAAAGCCAGGTCTAAAACAGAGTCTAGTAAAGGGCTTCAGGTCTGGTACAGGGTAATGACAGCAGTTTGGGAGAGAGAAGTGTTACGGGGATATGACAAAGTGGGACTAAGGATTTGACTTGGTGGCATAGCAGATCCCCCAAAGTTCTCTGCCAAAAATGAGTTGCTGTGCTATAAGAGAGAGGCAAAGGGAGTAGAATTGTAATGGGTGTCTCCTGAACCAAGGGAACAATACTGAAGAACTCAGGCAAGGGCAATGAGACAATTTCTCTTGATGGGAACACATGCTGTTGTGTAAAATTAGATATGAGATACCATGTAAATTGGATTCCTGGCCTGAAAAGTAACTGTAAAAATGGTTTTGTAGAGTTAGTATCAACTGCTTCCAATGTCTTTCCTAAGTTATGCTCCCACTAACAAGCAAAAAGCGTATTTTCCTTCAGCTGGTCTTGCATATTCAGTCTTTCATTTTCTTTACTTCCTGGGAGAAAAGTTTCTGCAGCCTTCATGCTCTGAGTTAATGAATTAATTGATTCATGTCTGTTTGATCTTCCAGGTCCAACTTAGAGGGTTGAGGAACATAAACTTAGTTTTCTCACTAAAGTCAGGAGATCTGTTCTGACTCAGAGCACATTGACTGTCAGGAGGAAGTGTTCTTGAGCTACCTTTTCTTGCTTCTTGAGACGCTTTGCTAATGTAGCTTCTCTAACTTAAAGAGTTCAGCTCAGCGTGTGGGTTCTTGGACCCCATTTGTAGCAGTTCAGGCCAAAAATCAGCCCTCGTGATTGTTTTTCCCTCAGTTCCCATGTAACACAAGCTACTGAGTTGCAAGCTGTGACTCCTGCATCAGCCAAAACAGTTCTTCCTCTGATGGATGCAAACCCCCATTGAGCCTAATAATTGGCAGCTGAACAGTACTATGCCTTTTGGTGACACAGCCAGTGCAAAGCCCGTAAGGGCAATGGCTTTTATTGCTAGCCTTGAGATGATGTGCCAGTGCTTAATCATCTTTACCACTAAAAAGCCCAGTTACCCTGTCTAAATACCCAAAAGTCAAACATGTGCCCAGTTTCAGTGTCTTTTTCAAAGCCTTCTCCTTTAAGCGTGTTCATTTCTCTCCCCAGGGCTTTGCCAGCAGCACAACTCTCTTGACTGCCCTCCTCAGGCCTTTGTCCAGCCCATTGCTGTGACAGCAACCTCTGATCCCACCAACTGCCCCCGATGCCATAGGGTGGAGCATGAAGCATCCCGAAGGCTCTCTGTCCTGGATAACACTGACTCAGAGCAGGAGGACGGAGGAGTCAGCAAAGAAGAGGGTGAGGGTAGCAGAGAGGACCAGGGCGCCTCGGCGCTGGAAAAGGAAGAAGAGGAGGTGGAAGAAGGTGGACGGCTGAAGCTCTGCAGTGATATGTGGCGAGAAGTGAGGATCAAGCTTCGAGTGATTGTGGACAGCAAGTACTTCAACCGTGGGATCATGATTGCAATCCTAGTGAACACTATCAGCATGGGCATTGAGCACCATGAGCAGGTAAGGCACCTTAGGGCATGGGGGGCAGAGTGGAGCGGTGAGTCCTGCTGGGGGTTACAACCTTGCTAAGCAGTTAATGCAACTTGGTGGAGGCAGAGATTGAACAATTTGGACTCCAGGCTGCAGCACAGATGGTCCCAGCATGGCTTTGGAGAAATCCTCAGGATCTTGCACAGTCATTTCTTCCTTACCCCTGCACTTAATCCTGTTCACTGTCTTTATGTATTTCCTTCTCACCTCCTCTCAGCCCCTCTGTTTTCCTCCTTCCTATTTACTTTTATCCCTGTTTTTCTTTTTTACCCTGTCTTCTCTTCCCATATTTTTCTTTCTCCTTCACCCTCATGTCTTCCATCTTCCTCATTTCTCTCATTTCCCTCTTCATTAACTTACTGAATCCTTAGTCTATTTGGTTTATTTAATGTGCCCTCTGGGGATGTCACAGGCACTTCACCAGCATGTCAATTCAAATCTATCAATCAGCTTGCTAGCCTTTCCAGCTTAATTAAGAGATGCCTGAGCACAGTCTAACTATACAAGAAAGCTAGGAAAGGCACCACCTCCCATGTCCAGTCATTTTGGGGGCTCAGATGGCTTGAGCCTTTCCTTTGCCCTGGCAGCAAGAAGTGATGGATGGGTCAGACAATAGCAGGTGTGGGCACAGGTTTGACTTTCATGCCAATAGTTTTTAGGCAGCTCTGAGTCAGCAGCACACTTTATCCTAATGACAGACTTATGATATGGAGAAGGATTGCGTGTTCTTATTTTATAGCTGGAAAACAGAGGCTGTGTCCATTCTGTGATGTGCAGAGCTAGCTTCAGAGGATGTTAAGCATGCCCCATAACCTTGCATCTGTATTGCTGGTAGCTATGCTGCAGTTTGCGTTAAAGGAGTCCATGCTGTACATGCATGTCTCAGGTCTACGCTGCCTGAATGTGACCATGATTCACTCCACGAGCCTGCCCAGATCACAAAAATAGGGGATCACTCCACTACTGAGATGCTGACTGTATTGAAGCTTTGGAACCAAGGTGAAGTCTAGTCCTGAACACAGTCTCTGGTAGCAAAGAGACAGGCAGTGAATCTGGTTCAAGCAAGGCATTCTGATTTGCCCTTTGCTGTATCAGGATGGAGATATCTTTAGACCCAGAGTACATTAAATTCCCTGTTAGAGGCAACGTGTCGTGTGAGCCAGTATTTGAAGCCTCATATGTCTGGATCCCACCCACATACCAAGCATTAAACCATTCTTCAAAGCCCAGCTAGTTTCTGATACAAGGGTGGGAAACTTTAATCTGAACCCAGAATGCAAAACTGCACTGGATGCTTCAGTACCAGAAAAATACTGGTGGGAGCTCAGAGGAGAGAAGAATGGAAAAGAGACTGGAGGGGTTGACTCATGAAAGTAGATAAAAAAGAACGATGCATTTAACGCATAACAGAGAGATGACTAAGGGTTGAAGCCCAGGAAAATATGAAAACTGCCCACTGATATTTTAAAGATGTGAGCACCAAGCAGGGAAAACCATTGTTCATTTTGGTTTATTGGAGACAGCGTGACTTAAGCATTTAGAGGAAGAATAGTTGAGCTGGAGGTAGAGAATTCACTGTCATGTTCTGGCAAACCTGTGTGCAGATTTAAGCCCTTCTAGGCCACCTCTGCTGGGTTTGTACAGCCTGCAGCAGAGTAGGAGCTGCCTGCAGCCTTGGGGCTTCTAGTAGCAGGCTGTTAATGACATGTCCTTAAAGTTATGTTACCACTTTTTATCCTTAAGTAGCTAGGAAAAGCTTATGACCCTGCATGCTGTTACTGCTAGAAAGTTATGTCAGCTGAATTGATCATAACTGAAATATGTGGTGTAGCCTGTTTATTTAAAATATGTACAGTGAATCCTGACACAAGGTTAAAAATAATTCAGACCATACCATGAATTCTAGGTCCTTTTCAGAAAGCAGTTAACTCGAAAGCACACAGACATACACACTTCCCTTTGCCTTCTTTCAGTGTTCCTCAAGACATGTTATCAGTACATCTCAGACTGGTACTTCTTCACCTCCTTTTCTCTCCTTCCTTTGTTTTGTTTTGCTTTTTTCTTGTTGTTTTTTTCTCCCAGAAACATAAATTTCACAGAAAGATTTCGAGCAAAAAACCTCTGTCTACAGGGATCTGTGTTTTGCAGGGTGATGGCATCCTATGACTGAAGTAGCTTCTGTTGCTTCAGCTACTTCATTATACAAATGGCTCTTGGCCCAGAGTTAATGCATACAGAGACCTCTTCTATTTTCTGGTGCATGGGAGGTCACAACCCCAGCCACATTCTGGGGACATACCTGGCTGGGCAAGAAGATGTGTGAAAGTGTCACAGGTATGAGCAGTGCTGCTGCACTTATTCACAGACTATACACTGGTGAGTTGGTCCGCTGACCAAAGCACCCACCAACCATCATGTTAATGAGTGAGACAGACTGTACAGGCACAAGGTTCAGCTTCAGAAACACAGGAACCTGGGAGCCAGAGCCGATGTGCAAGTCTCACTTTCACTTCCTCAGCCTTGACCAACAGAAAGAATGGCATGAATTAAAATTATCTGTTTATTACAAGTCAGGGGTTTAATATTCAGTGTCTGCCACTTAGCCTCAGCAATTCAAACCACTTTACTCGAATCCAAATCACTGTGGAATTTGGCTTTGTTTAGCTTATGCATCTAGTCCTCTTGTCCTTTTCTATATACGTGGCTAGGGCAGTTTCCCATCTCCTTATGCATTTCTTGTGAAGGAAATAAACTCATTTTGGGACAAACTGCACTGCTGTGAGTCATTTTTAATTCTGAAGCTTATCACAAGTTATCACTTGTAAATAGGTAAGTTTATTCAGATCCATCAATGTGCATTATACCATACAATATTCTCAATATTAAGTCTTCAGATATTGCTGGGCCATTGCACAAACCAGAATCAATCATTTCAAGCTTTGTCTTCCTTGAAATACTTTTGCAGTTCTTCAGATCTGCTTCTACTTGGAAATGCCTATTTTTAAAATCCAGTATAGAAAATATTAGATGCTTGTGGCTGTCCAGAAGGATCCTTTTAAGAGGCTCACTTTTAAAATATGCACAGAGGATGTGGTGGTGGTGCTCACTTTTCTCCCTTATTCAGCTTTCAGATGAAGGGCTGGTCCCAGCTGAATGTCCCAGGCTGCCTTTCTCTTATATTTCTTGCATGGCCTGTTGGACTCAAGCTTCTTTGCCATTAGTAGCCAATGAGACAATTGCAGGATAACCTGGTTTATCTTCTCCAGTATCTACTCACAGTATTCCTTTGTACATCAGATCAATACTTTATGAGGTCTTGTGTGGATCAGGAGACGATCCTTTGTTTCCTAGCTATAGCAGCTCTGTGGATCAGTACCTTCATATCCTATAGCCTATGCGATTTCCCTTTAAACCAGCTGTTATTGCATCCAGAAGTTCATATTTTACAGTTATTGCTTCTCTTTTTACTATTTGCTGCTTGTCAAAAACATTCAGAGAATGTCCAAGCCAGCTCATCATGCTGACATTTAGTAAATGATGGAACAGCCTCCCTGGGGTGGTAGATGAAACCACATTACTTCAGTCTTGTAAAACTAGGGTATAACAAGACATCACAAAATCCTGCATTGGTTGTGGGGTGGTGATTAGAGTAAGTAAAAGCTAGTTGGTATTTTCAGTGGCTGATTTCTATGCCTTTTCTGATTATTGTCAAGTGACTTTGAAATAGTGAGTAAAAATGGAGTCTGGAGTGACCTCTTTATGCGATATTTCTCTCTCATGTTCTCAGAGGCAGTGATGTGCAGGTTTTGTAGGGCTGGTCTGCTTAGATCACATCAATTGCTCTTCAGTTTCTAGACAGCTGTAATTTTACTCCTGGTTAAGAGAAACTTCTCCTGCAGGGACTTCATGGTGGTCAGCATATTCATAGAATCATAGAATCAACTAGGTTAGAAAAGACCTTTAAGACCAAGTCCAACCATTAACCCAGGACTGCCAAAGCCACCACTAATCCATATCACTATTTCCTGGGAAGCCTGTTCCAATACCAGATCCCTCTGCAGAGCTTCCCTTATCCTTCAGCAGATGAACACTCCCAGCCAGCCCCATGTTGTCCACAGATTTACTGAGGGTGCACTCAATCCCCTCATCCAGATCATCAATGAAGATACAAAACAACACTGGCCCTAATACTGAGCCCTAAGGGACACCCCTAGTGACTGGTTGCCAGCTAGAAGTGATACCATTTACCACCACTCTTTGGGCTTGGCCATCCAGCCAGTTTCCAGCCCAGTAAAGAATCCACCTATCCAGGCCATGAGCAGCCAGTGTCTTCAGGAGAATGCTGTGGGAGACAGTGTCAAATGCTTGACTTAAATACACATACACAATGTCCACAGCCCTTCCCTCATCAACCAAGCGGGTCACCCTATCGTAGAAGGAGACCAGGCTGATCAAGCAGGACCTGCCCTTCATGAACCCATGCTGACTGGCCTGATCCCTCCATTTTCCCTCACATGCTTAATGATCTCACTTAGGATCATCTGCTCCATCACCTTCCCCAGCACTGATGTGAGGCTGACAGGCCTGTAATTCCCAGGGTCTTCCTTCCTGCCCTTTTTGTACAGAGGTGTCACATCTGCCGAACTCTAGTCCTCAGGGATCTGCCCTCTAGACCAGGACTGCTGATAGATGCTGGAGAGTGGCTTAGCAAGCTCCTCTGCCAGCTCCTTAAGCACTCTTGTGTGGAACCCATCTGGCCCCATAGACTTGTGTATGTGTAAGTGGAACAGGAAGTTGCTAATCATTTCCTCCTGAATTATGGGGACTTCAGTCAGCTCCCTATTTCTGCCATCCAGCTTGGGGAACTGAGTACCCTGAGGATGGCTGGTGACTATTAAAAACTGAGGGAAAGGCAGCGTGAGGTACCTGAGCTTTTTTCTCATCCTCAGTCACTAGCTTTCCCGTACTAT